CAGTCCTATTAACACAACAAAGAATTTGAAATATTAGATATTAAACTGACTCACAAAGAGCGCTCAATGTTTATTTTCATTAAACAAAGCAAATTTTCTTTACAACTGGAATTAAGATACCTTTAGTAAATGATATATATATATATATATATATATATATATATATATATATATATATATATATATATAAGCAAATATATGGATATAGATCCGACAGTATGAAGAAAATTATACGGAAAAACAAACAAAAATCCTAATATGCAATTATGCTGTTTTAATGTTAATATAATGTCAACGTCGGACGTTTCGGTCTAGTCGACCATCTTCTGGACATATTCATAAGACATAATTAACATTAGACTATATTCAATTCAACATGAAAAGACGATGGACATAAGAATTATCAGGGGCAGCTGAAAGTGTGCGCACTTTCAGCTGCTCCTGATAATTCTTTTGGTCGCATCTTTCTACCAAATAACCATAGACTTAAAATATGTGGGTGAAACATGTAGGTCCGTAAAATCTCGTGCTTTATTTGTACACATAACTAAATCTGATCATAATTTCGATTTTGATTCTGTGAAGATTTTAAAATATATTCATAATAAAAATCTTAGACGGATTTATGAGGCAAGCATAATATCTCACGCACGGTGAATACTAGACCCGGCTTCTTTAATATTTCCCCCTTTTTAGCAAGATTAATGCTCGACAAACGTACTTATAAATTTTAGATTAAAATAAAATTCTTTTCATTTTTCATTCAAAATACTCTATCTTAGGAATACGTTTTCACAACATCTCCGACGTGACGCCGACGTGATCATATTGAAACGGAACGCTGATCTTGAAAAAAATTTCAGTTATCTGTTTTGATTAGTCTTACTCTTATGTACATCGTATATTTTTCTTCATATATATATATATATATATATATATATATATATGAAAACACATAAACCTAACTATCCTCTCCGTCCTATCATATCGCAAATTCCAACTCCTGTATATCATCTAAATACATCAATCAACTTATTACTCCCTATCTTCCTAGTAAATATAGTGTTAAGTCAACATTAGAAGTAATCCAAATCCTAAAAAGTGAAAAACCTGACAATGAAATCATGGCTTCACTTGATGTTGAAAACTTATTTACCAATGTCCCTGTTAGTGAAACTATTGACATAATTATAAGAAATATATACAGTAACTCATCTTTACCTCCGCTTAAAATTAATCCTAATATATTACGGAAACTACTATTAGCTTGTACTACTGAAGTCCCTTTCTTCGATCATAATAACAATATATATATACAATGTGATGGTGTCTCCATGGGTTCAGTACTGGGCCAGACATTTAGCAATTTCTACATGTCGAACCTCGAAAATAAGATATTTACAGATTTTAAAAAACCATCAATCTACCTAAGGTACGTTGATGATATTCTTATGTTAGTTAAAAATACAGATGAAATAATTCAACTTCAAAAACGGTTCCAAAATAATTCTGTCCTTAAATTCACATATGAACTCAATACTACTAATAAAATTCCCTTCCTTGACATATTGATAAACACAAATAATAACAATTTGCTATTTCGCCATACATAAAACCTACAAGCATAAATTCATGTACACTTAACTACAAGAGTGAATGCCCATATTACTACAAAATAGCAATTATAAAGAATCTAATACATTTTGCAGAAACTAATTCATCCACAAAACAGATTTTTTACAATGAACTAAAGAATATAAAACAGACACTTATTAATAATAGCTTTCCAAACTATATAGTTGATGAACATCCTCAGGTGTGTATCTATAAACAGTAATTCGGACTTTGCAGACCAGGAAGCCTCTCTGTGTCTGAATGGTAACGGCACGTCAGGTTATAGGACGATTCCCATAAGGGTTACGGGTTCGATTCCAGTCGGAAGAGAGCATATTTTACGAAATTTCTCGAACATTCAGGCCGGTAAATGCAATTAATATTGTTTAATTAAAAACAGAACATTAGTTAAATAAATTATATCTAATTGTCGAATTTAATCTATTTCATATATATATATATATATATATATATATATATATATATATATATAGGAATGGGTGTATTAAATATACGTTTACAAGTTGGTGGCGTGTTCCTCACACAAAAATAAGGACAAAAGTCCATATAAATATATGTCCGCAAACCCTTTGTTTTTTAGTAATTAAGTTTAAAGAAAGGTTACGACAGATGGCGCTGCGTTGCCATGTAGACTAGATTACATTTGTCACTCGTGTACATTTATGGTTAGTCTGTTTTCAACGTTTAATGTGCATAGAAGTGAGTTAACCGAGAAATGTTCCGTTTGACAATGGCAGAGAATTCATATCGTGAGCAAATAGATATGATATTTACATACAGCTGCGCGAATGGTAATAGACCCGAGGCTGCACGGTTGTATCAGATTACGTTTCAAGATTGAAGGCAGTCGAGTCATCCAACCTTTGCTGCCGTCGAGTTGCTCAAACAGGGTCCGTGGCACCACAAACTATGGATCGAGGAAGACCGAGATTCGGCCATACAATAATATTAATAATATATATATTTATATATAATATATATAATTAATATATATTTATAAATATGTCTCGCCGCTGTCCCAAACGTAGTCTTACAGACAGTTTAAATAAGGAGAACTATGGGATGCAAATGGGGTGATATGAAACTCCTTGGATGGTGACTCTTGGGAAGAGAGAAGGGTACACCTTGAAACACATACGGACTTCGTCTCGATCAAGGATTTGAGCACCACGTGCAGCACCTTGAAGTGGCAATTGACTCCGAGGTCATGTCTCTTGTGTTATCCTGTACTATGCGAACTTGATGTACATTACTGTGGGTACCTCCGTGCAGTCAGCGACGAACCAACCCTTCTTTGTGCTGCTTCGAGATGAACTGGGCATGTCGGCCTCCTCCAAGTTTATGGATTTGTTTAGCATGTACAAAGGTTCCACCAAAAATTGATGGATATGGATTGTAGGAATCGGAGTGTCGAGGTCGAATTCCAGTCGAATCCATTACATTCATTTACCCTTGGCTGACTGAATTCCTTCAGCGCGACCAGAGAACTGAATAATAAAAATGGTACTAGACTTCTCCTAGACTGACTAGTCTACTATTTAAACCATATCTGGTAAAGATGTGAAACGGTAGATTCATGCCTTTCCCACGCGAAAGGCAAACACGCAACAAGGTAGGTCAGGATTTAAACTTGGATCACCTATTTTGGTTTCCATGTCGATAACTGTCATGTGAAAATATTCTTTCCTTAAAAAAAGAAAAGAAGACATATCCGCTATTTTCGGTGGCCAGTGCACATAAACAACTTATGCAATTAATGAAAAAAAATCGTTGCCTTATGCCAGACTTGAGTGCGATCAGAGAACTGAATAATAAAAATGGTTCTAGAGGTTGTTTGCCGGACATTGGAGTGCAACCTGTAGCATCCTCCCAAATGGTTGATAATAAATCTGTTGTGGTAGGATCCACCTAATTTGCATAGTGTAGTACCGACCATATAAATATGGTTGGTACCGGGAAGAGAGTTGGGAGGAATCAAGAGATTCAATCCAGAGACTCTGCCCGACTGCGACTAAGTCAACACATTCTCCAGGAACGGTCTTCCCAAGAATATACAAAAGACTATATGTAAATATTGTGTACCTTTCTTGTTTCAATACATTTTGTTCTAAGTACATTTTGTGTTGTATTATTATTCCATGCATTAGTCAAGTTTCAACAAAATCCGATCTTCACAAGGAGTGCCGGAAATTTATCTTAAGGCACATCTGATCCCAAGAAACGTTAAACCAATAAATATATCTTCTATATGCTCAGATTCAATGGGCGGTGGTGTACTCCGAAATCGAAGACTTCTCGGTCTTAATCTTTTCATCTTCAGGAATTATTGCTAATAGCTTATTGCAAACCTTTATTTGGGAGAGGAAGGTGAGCAAATTAATAGGGAGAGATAATCCTACAAGGAATAACATTCCTCATTCCAGGAATCAGGTCTGAGAAAAAGCTAGCAACACACCCAGGACAGATGTGAAATATAGGCCTCATTTCAAACTGCTCATTAAATAGTCTTGTAATCGGTAATAAAATTTGAGTTTGAGTAATGGATTCAAGTTCAAATTCCACTTGAATCCATTACATTCACTTACATGCTAATACCCTTGGGAAACGTATGAATCATCTTCTCCACCTCTGGCTATGGGTAAATAGCAAAACAGACCAGGTTCTATAGACATGGATGGTAGCTGGTCTACTGATGAAAGAAATGGCAACCTACTACGGGAAAAATCTGCCTCGTCAGTCATGTATCGAAAGATACATGATCGCCTAACCGTGTATCACGCATGGCATTTTTACAATAGCATCTTCATGAATGACTAAAAATTTTAAAGCAGTGTAACAGGTTCTGTTATCCTGGTAATTTTGAAATACCCGTATGTAGGCTGTTTATGATTTGACAGTTGGCATGTGTTGTAAATCAAATCATAACAGCATCTTCGGTTCGGTTTGAGGAATCGGAGAGCCGAGTTCGAATTCCAGACGAGTCCACTTACGTGCTAATACCCCTTGGGGAAAGGTATGCAGCCTCTCCTCCCCCCCTAATGGTAAATAGCAAGACAGAGCGGGTTCTATAGCCTTGGATGGCAACTGGTCTACCGCAGAAAGAAATGGCAAACTACTGCGGAGAAAAAAATCTGCCTCGTCAGTCATGTATCGAAAGATACATGATCGCCTAAGCGTGTATCACGCATGGCAAATAACTGACATGTTAAACTCTGTCATCTTCGAATATTCGGTAACAGCCCTCGTCGATTTTCTTCAATTGGGTTTGAGAGTACTGAACAACTCGATAAACTCAACGGTCGTTATTTCCCGAGAACATTGCTTTTTCTTTGACGTCAATGACGCGTTCTCGGCATGGCCAAGGGTTACGGCCATATTAATTGAGAAACACCGATTCTCGCATGATCACTGAAGTAAAGCAACGTCGAACATCGTCAGTATCTAGATGGATGACCGCTTGGGAATACCAGGTGCTGTAAGCTTGGATGTGCGGGCGGTTACACGTCTAACGTCTGGGATTTAGAAATTGTAGAGCCGAGTTCAAATTCCAGTCGGGTTCGCGAGATTCACTTCCGCGCAAATACTCTTGGAAAAGTATGAATCCTTCAGCCATGGATTAATTAGTAGGACTTGTATGAGATAGATAGATAGATAGATAGATAGATAGATAGATAGATACCCCAGCTATGGGTTAGTTATTAATATTGAATCAGTAAATAATTATTAACTCGAAAAAAAACTCTTATAATCTAAAAATATTCTCTGGCTTTAAATAACCTGCAAAGGGTTGATAATCCGTAGAAAACGAATTAATCAAATACTGATTAGCTACACAGGCATGTCTTTTAGATTTATTTACATTCTATGGAATATAAGTGTATAGAAACTACCGTGGCCACAAAGTGAGGGATCAATTTGTATATTGATTGTAATACAGAATTGATCCCCCATTTTATCATGAAATAAAAATTCTTGCAATCTAAAGATATTTTCTGGATACTGAATAACTTGCAAAGGGTTGATAAGCCATAAAAAACGAATCAATCAATCAAAACTGATTATCTACACAGGCATGTCTTTGTTTTATTTACATTCTCTGGTTTAATTTGGTTTCTTTTGTTTTACGGCATATCAAAACCTCAATGGGTTATTTAATGCCGACAAGAATTGCTGGTAATATTTTTTCCAAAAATGGACTGCTGGTAATATTTTTTCCTTCAAAAATGTACTGCTACTAATAATGTATTGCTGGTAATAACTTTTCGTCAAAAGATTTATTGCTGGTATTGAAACCTATTTTTATACTTTCATAATATTGTGACCCCAGTTTGGACGGGGTTAACTATTTGCCCATAGTTGTGGCCCTAACAGGTGCTACCACCCCGGGTCAGAGTGGACCTGGGAACACCAGCAATTAAGACATGGTTCCATGCTCCTCAAAACCTCTTGATCAGAGGCCTTGCTGTTAGACGTAGTTTATCATCTTACCGAGGATGCTACATTCTCTGGAATATAAATTTATAGAAACTACCGTGGCAAAAAAGTGAGGGATCAATTTATATATTGATTATAATATGAAATTGATCCCCCACTTTATCGTAAAATCATTTTACAATCTAAAAATATTTTCTAGCTTTAAATAACCTGCAAAGGGTTGATAAGTCATAAAAAATGAATGAATGAATCAAAACTGATTAGCTACACAGGCATGTCTTTTTAGATTTATTTACATTCTACAGAACATAAATGTATAGAAACTACTATGATCAAAAAGTGAGGGATCAGTTTATATGTTGACTGTAATATGGAATTGATCCCCCACTTTATCTTAAAGTAAAAATTTTTCACTCTAAAAATATTTTCTGGCTTTAAATAACCTGCAAAATATTGATAAGCCGCAAAAAAAGAAACAATCAATCAGTGGTCATATCGATCGATTAACATGAACCTGATTTGAAGATGAAGGACATGACTATAGTTAGTATACCTTTTTATTTCCTCTGTCAGATTGACAGCTGCCATCTTAATACTGTTTGGATCATGCTAAGATATCGTGTGAGTCTTTTTATTTTCCTGGGTCTTGCGTCCATAGTCCTATCCACTGCCCACTACGCAACGCCTGCGGACACACATTTAATTGCTTGCAATCGCTGGCTAATTTGGCAAGCGACACTTCTGATAATAACGGAGGAACATAGAATGCTACCGCTTTTGAAAAGAGGAGTTTACAAATCGACATTGTTAATGAGTTGCTTGGGGGCAACACTTGTAAAATATTACAAGAAACCAGATTTGAGGCGGGAGAGTAGAAAAAGTGATTGCGAATTTTCAAATCTATCGCTTTCGTAATTTTCCCCTTTTCTCTTGTAAAACTAGTTCATTTCCAAACATCTATCTATCTATCTATCTATCTATCTATCTTATTCTGTCCCTATACACACACAAACACACACACACACATATATATAATTTATTCGAAAATTACTACAAAAATAGCCATTTTGTTTCAATACCGCTGGTGTCATATCAAGTAATGGTGTTATTGAACTCCATTGCTTGATAAGTCGCCAGAAGTGATGAAACAAAATGGCTATTTTTGTAGTGATTTTATGACATATTTATGTTATAATTTTCGAATAAATAATTATATTTGCTCTACTCTGTATTGACCAATCTTTTAACAATAGTATTTTTTGATTATTGGTATTTATTCCGTATACACCAAGCCTATACTTTGCATATATATATATATATATATATATATATATATATATATAGTTAAACTTAGAGAACCAGACAAACCTACCAAAGTTTCACCTAAGCGGATCGTCAGGGAAGGTTGGCTTATTTATTTATTTATTTAGTTATTTTGCGTACTCGCATCGGGATTTTTTTTCTTTGGGCCTTCGACTTGCAGGCTGGACGATTATTTTCGATTAACGTACATGTTCTTGGTTCTTTCTTTTTTTTATACCTTTTTTCTCTTTGGTATTGGCTTGTTTATTTGCAAAGCAAGACACCGAAGGTTTTTTGAGCGAGTATAGTTTCTTATACTTATAAGATTTCTATCAATAATATATATATATATATATATATATATATATATATATATATATATATATAGAGAGAGAGAGAGAGAGAGAGAGCTTCGAAATATGCATTTTTATTGCGCTGGAGGGTGTCGTCAGTGATGTAATTACTCAGGTCATTGGGTAGTTTCAGGCCTTACAACATCATACCATCCTCGCTGAGTCGACCCCCGTCAGAGCTGATCTGGCTCCGACGCACCCTCCTCCTGTACCACGCTATGCGACACTGATTTTTTATAATTGTCTCAGCCAACTTGTACTTGATACTAGCAGGATACACATAGGGAAAGTCCATAGCGCTCAGGTAAGTTGGGTTATTCAAAATGACAGAAGGAAGAAATTTTTGTTAATTTGTTGCTAGTTTTTAAGTTTATATATTAAAAACAGTGATAATAATATGCCCCATCCAGAATGACTGTAGATTAACCGATTAAAATAAACGTACAATAAACTACATCTATATGCGTTTATACAAGTTTTCCGGTTTACAGTTAAAATGCCGCTATTAAATTATCCCAAGCCCCGACCCTCAACAAGAAGAAAAAAAAACTTTTTTTTCCTGTATTATAATTTAATATGATTTTCGGTCTAACATTATGTACAAGACAGTAATCCCCGAATCCCCTGAAAAAATGAGTTTTTGCGAAAACTTAGAACCACGAAAAAAAAAAAAAAAAAAACATCGGCGTGTGCGCATATATACCTATATACACACACACACACACACACACATATATACAAATACACACATACACACATACATACATACACACACATACATACACATGCACACATTCAAGTGCTGTTCTTAAAATTAAAATTCCAATAAACTACCCTACGAAAGATAAATAACAAATATAAATAATAATGATATACCCCGCCCCAAAAGACTGAAGGTTTGACATGTAAAAAACTAAAAGATATATATATATATATATATATATATATATATATATATATATATATGGAATTATGAAGATGCTGAAAATTTATCGGCACGACCAGGGAGCACTTCCACTCATCTATAATTTGTCTTTGGTTATTTGGTCACATTTTCAAAAGTAGAGCCTACCCAGAGATTTTCCCGTATTATGTCTATTTATTTTAGTTTTAATCCTTTCAAGTCCACGAATTAATTTCTTGGTGGCTGTAGAAAATTGATTAAGAAAAATTCCAATATTTTCTTTCCAATAATTCTTATTTTCTCAAGTACTTTCATTCTCATCTGAGACCATCTTCAGTAGTTGCATATCTATGGAAATGTTATGCGTAAATTCAAAAATATTTTTGCCCCCATGCAAGGGAGGTAACTTATGTGATTTTTTACAAAGATTTTTTAAAAATAACAGATTTTTTTCATTGTCGTATTTTTAATTTAGTATTTTATATAAGACTACAAGCATTAAATTTGTTTAATTAAATTAATTACTTTAATTACTTAATTAGGTTGCTATTACAAGCATTAAATTTGTTGCTATGCTCGTAGTTGATTTGGCTGCAATTCTCTCTTTTATTATCTGGATGGATACACTGATGTATTTTAGATGAATACCTGTCTAAACTCTGAATGTGGGCGAGTGTTTCTTGAAATGTCCTGAGATTGAACTAAGATCATTCAAGTGAAACGTAAGCCTTCTCGTTATCGTTGTTGTTGTAAAACCAAGGTGTGTATTAAAATTTCTATCAGCGGTGCAATCCCTCAAAGGATATTAAAATACGAAGAAGTGTTCTTAAGGATGACTAGGTTGCTTGTATTAAATTTAGTATAGTATATAATTAATTGCATTGTTTTTTACTTAGATATATTTGTGTTTATGTGTATTTTTATAATATTTTCCTCGTACTTAGAGTTAGAATGCATTTTATTACCGTATAGCATATATTTAGAGTTATTTAGAGAGGTATTTTATTAATTTTTTACGTTAATATTCTCAGTACCTTCTATAATTAGTCCAGCAACGATATAATTAGGAAAACCATTATTAATAAGGGATTGTTTCATATTTTTTTAATTTAGTATAGAAAATCTTTCTTGTTGAAGAGGTTGCTTTTGCGTGGTTTATTAATTTTCAACGGTTGGTTTCGCCTTTTCTCGTCCTTCGGGACTTAACCCTTGAACAGCATGACGCTAGCGGCCGCGATCGTTCGCTAGCTGTTCCAGCTATCCGAGCCAATGGCTGTGTATTTCCGGTCTCTCTTGCAAACGTTCTTAAAACGGAGTGTAGAGCGGCCTACAGGACGGTACCCTGTGGCCAGCTCATCGCGAAAGATGCCTTTTGGTATATGGCCATTATTCATTCGAGTTACATGACCAAGACATCGAAGACAACGTTGACAAAGGAGAAAATACGTGCCCCATGTGTCTGCAAGACTGTGGTGACGTCGTAGGCA